AGGAGAAAGGCTGGGAGAGGGGAGGGGGAAAACTGGGAAGAGGGAGCTGGAAGGGGGAAGCAAGGAGAAGGGGGAGGGGAAGCTCATACCCTTAGACTATAAGGTGCCACAGGACTCCTTGTCGCTTTTGTAGATCCAGACTAACACATCTACCCTTCTGATGTTAATCCCAAGTCTCTGCTACGACTGGGAGATGTGGGTGACCTATAGAAAACACCAGCATTGTCTTTGGAAAATCTGCAACAGAACATGGGGGGATCGATCACCTCAGGAATGTCAACTCCTTTAGAACTGAGATTAGCCAGCATCAGCTGCGGTAGAGTGGGCACTGTGTGCAGATCTCATATATTTTTACCAAAATTCCTGCCTGTCCAACTCGCCAAAGGAGAAAGGAAACAGAGAGGCCAAAAGGAAGGGTACAGAGCAGTGTTTCTCAACCTTTTTTTTTAAGCTTCAGAGAAGTAGCCGAGTTACAGACTAACAGGAAAAACTTAAAAACCACATTTAGCACTTTGAAGACTAGCCAAACATGTAGATGGTATCATGAGCTTTCACGGCTTTGCCCGTGAAACCTCATGATACCATCTACATGTTTGGTTAGTCTTTAAAGTGCTACGAGACTATTTTGTTTAAGTTTTTCCTTTTGTTATAAAGTACTTTAAAAAAATTATAAGTACCCACAATGCACCCACCCTTCCCCCAGAGCCAGGCACACCAGCCCCCCTCCCATCCCAATGCAACTGTAGATACATCTCATTAATCTCTGTATTAATCACTTTCTCATTGCATTTTTTAAGTCCTTTTACATAGACATTATGTATACTTTCATATAGAACACAGAAAATGTGTATGAAGTCTTTCTACATAGAAACCTTGTATCTTATAGATTTTGTACCCTCTTTTGCTTAATGGATTGTCCTGTTGAGTGAACGAGGTGTGAATGGATAAGGCCTGAAAGACCTGCACCTCCCTGCACTTGCAATAGTTGGAGAAGGGTGGGAGCCAGATCCAAGAACAATGAGAAGAACAATGGGACCTGTGAAGTGGGCTCATTGAAAGAAGACTGGACCTATGGACGCCTTGGGAGTCAGCAGCAAGCGCCTGCTTTTGGAAGCCCCCTCTTTGAAGGCCAATGGGGCAGCATTAAGACAACTAACTGCAAATGCACACGATGACTCTCAAAGATGATGCGTCTGCATGGGATGACTGATGTGGTGGGTCTGCATGAGAGTGAAGACACTATCAGTCTAAGGCCTCTTGCAGAGGGACCCCGGCTTTCCTCCTGTCAACATGGGATCATGGAGCTGGCTCCACCCCTCCCGCACCTAACTCACCTGGCCAGTGCAGTTGGGGGGGAGCAACTATTGGCAATAACAAGACATGTGTGTGTGCTCGCGTGTGCGGTATCACAGGCCTCCGGTAAGAGCTGACGGCTATTTGTATTACCAATAAATGTGGCATTTTGCCTTTTCCCCCTGAAAAGACCCTGTGCAGTACTCTTAAGTACAACACAACACCCCTCCCCAGAGCCAGGCATCCTCAGCACCCCCCATCCCAATTCCCCCCCCCCTCCAGAATCAAGTGCCCCAGCTCCCCTCAGCCAATCCCCCTCCTGGAGATCCAAGCACCCTCAGTGCCCCCATCCTAATGCACTCCCCCCTCCCTCAGAGCGAGGCACCCCCACATGGGTGGTAAGAAGGAACGGAGGGGGTGGAGGGCCAGCAGGGGTATATACTGACCAGTATAGTGGCATCTTTCCAGGGGGCTCCCCAGCTGGCCCGACGGGTGCTACTAGGGGAAAAATTTCTGACAACACGTGCACACTGCACGCACACACCTACATGGAAGGGGCGTGAGCAATCGCTCAAAGGAGAATGGGATACTTAGCACAGGGGAACAAATGTATCGAAACACATAGGCCAGTTCGGGCCAGGCAGCTGCTAGAAGTGTGCACACAACACAGTGTTATAGGCATTCAGTGCATACGAGCAATATTAATGTATCTAATGTGAATCATACCCATTGACCATGCAATATGTGACCTTAGCCCAGCATACGGCAGTGACCACGTCAGAAATAGATTTAACCCCCCGCAAACATTCAGCTGTTTCTAGTGACCCAGATCCAAGGACCCCAGCTCCACCATAGAGCCAAGACCCCATCGAGAGCTGTCCCCCCTCTCTCCTGTATCAGCTTTAACAGCAGAGACACATTCTGCGTGGGGCTTCTGTGATGGGAACAAACGCGTCCCCTGCGGATTTGCATTCTGTTCCCCCAGCCTGGGAACTTACCCATTGAGCCTTGAGTGCTCCCTGGAGGCAGAGGGGGGACAAGGACCACGATGAGAAACACTTGAGAGAGAGAAAAATAAATGTGTTTGTAAATGTTATCCAAACAGAAACGAGCAACACAGAGACAGAGACAGAGACAGAGACATCTCTTGGCCCTTGTCCAGGGACCAAATTTTGCTGGATGACTCCATTGTGATTCTAGTGTAAATTCAATGAAGTCCGTTCTTCCATTAATAACTGTTTATACCATAGTAAATGCAGGAACCCCAGCTTTGTGCCACTCCAGCAAGCTGGCTTACTCCGCTATCTTGAAATTCCCCTTGTGCACTGGCTCCATGTTATGCCTCCACCCACAAACCCTGGGCACAGAAGCTTCCCAGAGATGAGTGGTAGGGCCAAGATACTTCTATGCTCTGGCTATTGCCAGCTGCTGAATGGTCCCTTGGACCAGGGATGCTTCAGGAGGAATCAGAGAAGGCTTTAGGCTGCTTGCAGGCACCAGACTGATCTGCAGTTATCCCCTGGGATTCAGTGGTTGTGAACGTGGCTGGAAGCATCTTCGACCCATCCAGGCTCTGGTCTCACGGTGAGTCCCTCTGAGCCAGCCCCAGGAATCTGATGGTTAAATCTAAGGGTGTTTCAGCAAGCCTGGATGAAGTCTCCATTAGTGCAACTTGAGCAGGGGAGGGAGCAGAGGAAATTGTCTGTCACACCAATGTAGGTGTAAATTCGAGCTCTAGGAGACTTACCTGGGCTTGCTCTGAGCAGCTGGCGTGTGAGAAAGAGAAGTGTGGCCATGTTTGGGCAAGTAACAGGGGAGGCTCCCTGTCCCGACCACATCCCTGTCCAAGGCCACTGGTAGGCACTCAGGGCAGCTAGCCCCCTCCCCCTCTGTTCGGACACTTCTCTGTGTAGCACGCAGCTAGACGAGAACTAGCCCAGCTGTGTCTTCCCCCGCTGGAGCACACACCTTCCTGCTCTCGTGCAGATGGACACATGGACCCCTCTGGGCTCTCCGGGCCCCACCCCTGAGTCCAGCCCATGGACTTTGTTCCACTCACCCAATGGACGCACGTCCCCGCGGGGTCCCATGGTGGCTCCGACACTCTCAGGAGCAGTTGAGCTTCCCCCGCTGTGGGGACACTTCTCTGTGTAGCACGCAGCTAGACGAGAACTAGCCCAGCTGTGTCTTCCCCCGCTGGAGCACACACCTTCCAGCTCTCGTGCAGATGGACACATGGACCCCTCTGGGCTCTCCGGGCCCCACCCCTGAGTCCAGCCCATGGACTTTGTTCCACTCACCCAATGGACACAAATCCCCTCGGGTTCCCATGATGGCTCCGACACTCTCAGGAGCGGTTGAGCTCTGAGGGCTCTGAGCTTTGCAGCTTCCTTATTTTGGAGAAATTAGGCAGGAAGCAGATCATATCAACCTAAAGTATGGACACAGCAAAACACTGTCCAGCCTGCCCTGCCCTCCCTCCTGCTGCCTCCCTCATCTGCCAGACCCATACTCCGTTACTTTGCAGTGAGACCCAATGGGGAAAACTGAGCACAGTGCAGATGGCCCAGCCTCATTTCACTGAATCAGAAATGGAGAGTTGCGAGGGACCTAAGGAGCTCGAACGATCCACCTCCAGGTGCTGAGGCAGGACCAAGCGGACCTAGAACATCCCTGGCAAGTGTGTGCCCAACCTGTTCTTAAAGCCTGCACTGACAGGGACTCCACAACCCCAAAAGAAACCTTTTCTGCAGTTCTGCTACTGAGCCAGTGAGTCTCCATACCTCCCCGACCAGCCTTGCAACCTCCATGTGGACAAGAGGAAACTAGCACGTTTCCTTAGTTAGAATCAGAAAATACTTTTGAAATTGTACTGCTTTTGGGCCCCACCCACTAGGCTGGGTGCCTATGAAGGAAATTGCCTCGCTTTGGTATGATTTGCTCTCAAAAAATCCATGTTGGCTGTTGCTTATCACCTTATCATCCTCAAAGGTTTAATAAATTGGTTGCTTCATCATTCCCCAGTTTTGCTCTTTTTTGAAGAGAGGCACCATGTCTGGCCTTGTTAGGAAACTCTCTCTTTCTCCATGAGAGCTGGAAGATTGTCACCAATGGTTCAGAGGTTGCTTTGCCTAGTTTCTTAAGTGCTTTAGTGTGAACTTTGTCTGGCACCGCCAAAATGCACAAATTTACCTCAGCTCAGTAATTTTTGGTAACATGGCTATTGTTTCCCTATCCTGGCCACTGATCCTTCCGTCTTGCTAATATTAACAAGGGTTATGGCTCTGGTCACAATTAACCCTCTTAATCCTTTTTTCAGGAAAACTTAAGATGAGCCCACACCGAGTGGCTGGTTGCTGACATACTGGTCAGAGATTTCAATGGGCTGGGGTTCTTAATGGGCATCTAACGTGGGGAAGCTCTAATGCCACCTCATTTTCTGAGAAGCGGCTTTTCTGAACAAGAAACAAACAGGAAAGCAGATCTTTCTCCAGATCACAACGAGGCTACTGATCTGGGAGATGGTGTTGTTCACGTGTCAGCCATCCCCGTCAGAGACCTCTATCATATCCCCCTGTTACCCAGGTGACAAAGGTAACTAGGAAAAACAGGAAGCTAGAAGGTGACCCCAGTATCAGGGTAGCCCCTGGTTCAGAGGATGCAAGCCCCCTTTCCCTGTGTCTGTTACCGGGAGGGAATAATTACTCTGGGCACCATCCCAGTGTGATGAAGGACACTGCAGGTAAGTTTCACAACTGTATTAAGGGATTAAATTACAATAATTGGGAAAATGGGAGAATTCAAATGATAATCGAACAACAATAGTGCACATCCCTAACTCAACCAGGAGCCGTACAAGAGAGCAGGGAGTCTAGCAGGGAGGAATGTCGCCTGGGCCCAAACCCCTCTTTGGCCAGTAAAGACCCCAAAAGTGATAAACCCCTTTGACAACTTAGAGGCGCTGATGGGTGCTGTGTGCAGGCCAGGACTCTAGGGTTGTGCTGCCCCAAGCAAAAAAAATGTTTGGCCGCCCTCCCCTGCATCACTCTCAGGGTATGTCTACACTAGAGCTAATGTAGGCATTCAAAGTTGCAAATGAAGCCTGGGATTTAAATATCCTGTGCTTTATTTGCATCTTCCCGTCCAGGCGCCATTTTTAAATCCCCCTAGTCCGAACTAACTGCCCGCGGCTACACGCAGCAGTCAAACGTTAACTCGAACTAAGTCCTTAGTACAAGGCTCCAGGGCTGGGGGGGAGGATGAGCAGCCAGTGGGATGGGAGCCAGGGGAGAGACCCAGCTCCAAAAATTGGTGGAGCAGGGTCCCCGGCTCTGAATATTCCTGGAGCATGGGCACCACGAGCCCATATAGCTCGCTGCCTATGCCTGGTAGCGCTTCTGTGGCGCGAAACCTCTGAGGTGATGGAATGTTCAGGGGCCGTTCCAGCGGGAAAAACCGGTTCCAGCCGGTAAGAACCAGCTCAGCTCAGCTCGGCCTTCTCTAGCTGCTGACAGGCCCTCTGCTCAAAATGGCGTTCACTGACTCCATCTTCAATGGCTTTCACAAACAATCATGAGAATCATGCTTAACTAAACACTTAAATACAAACCCTGCTGCTTTTCCCTGGTCATATGTTAAATAGTCCCACTATTCACACCTCTCATTTCAGAAAACTGACCATTAATTCTTACCCTTGGTTTCCTATCTTTTAACTTGTTCTGGATCCATGAGAGGATCTTCTCTGTCGCCCCAAGACAACTTACTTTGCTTACAAGACTTTAGTGAAGGACCTTGCCAAAGGTTTTCAGAAAATCTAAGCATGTTAGATCCACTTGAACACCCTTGTCCACATGCTTGTTGGGCCTCTCAAAGAATTCTGCTGGATTGGTGAGGCCTGTTTTCCATTTACAGAAACTAGGTTGACGATTCCCCCCAACAAATCATTTTCCCAGGTGTCTCTGACAATTCTGTTTTTAATGTCATTTCAACCAGTGTGCTTGGTACTGAAATCAGGTTTACTGGCCTGTAATTGTCTTAGATATCCCGAGAGAGCCACGACATTTGCACCCAGCAGGCAAGATACCACGTGGTACTTTTGGTCATTGCAAACCCAGGTGTCTGTTTCTAATGATCAACCCCCCATTACTGACACCTGTCTCTGCCTAATAACTGGAGTTCCCCTCCCCAGAGAGGCATCCTCACCATGAGAGGATACCGCAGCCGCATCTGGAAGGAGGGTCCCAGCTATGGGCTTGTTTCCTGTTGTTCTAGCACAGACGCTGCCAGACCAGGGTGGGACCATTCCACTGTGTCCTTGGAACCTGCCAACTGTCCCCTGACATTTCTCATACCACAAACCAATGAGGGAATTCAAAGGTGATTGTCGGCAGAGGGGAACTTAACCTGAGCCAAAGCAACAGTAAAGGCAGCAGCACTGCAAACACCAACGCTCAGCTTACCATGCAGGGACAAACCGAAGGACTCTGGCTCCTGAGGGGTGTTTCCGGATCAGCTTGTAACTTTAAAATGGCCCAGTGTAATAAGTGCCTGAACACTGACACTTAGCTAGGAAACACAGAGGCGGCTGTCAACCAGCATCTCAAACCCCACAGGGCATATAAAAAGCAGACGGGATCTTTTCAGGGAAAAAGGCAATGCGATTTGTTTATTGAGAATATAACGTAAAAAGCAGCCTTTGCACCCACACCCCGAACCCACCCCCTCACATCCCACTCCTGCCTGTAGCTTGGACCAATGTCATGGCCAGCAGGGAAGCAGGATTCTGTCGCTCACGATCTGATGCTCTGAGGCTTTGCATGACAAAACCCAATGCAAGACACCCCATCTGTTATAGAATTCCTTCTCAGACACGCTTGCGAGTTTTGCTGCCTTGTGCTGGGATCAGTGACTTGGCAATAAAGGGTTATCTCCAGATTGCTTTCATTTATCACTGCACCAGCATCTTGGGGCTCTTTCTGTCACGTTCTGGTTTCGGTGGGATCTTCTGGGGTGCTTGCCTCAGCTTCAGGGTCACCAATCGGCCCTTCATTAGTCATCCAGTAAAACGGGCCCATATTTCTGAGTGAGCAGGTTCTGAATCAATGCTTCAAATGCAGCCAGTTGGAGGGGAAGGAAATCCTGGGTGTGGTCATGCTCACTCAGTGGTTTAGCCCTGTAAGGTGTTCAAATGTTGTCATGTAAATACAATTCATGCTGGAATGGGAGAGAGATCCTGGGTGTGCTTGTGTAAATCCAGTTCAGTCAGTGCTACAGGCCTGATGGATGCTCAGTTGTTAGAACGGAATTTTGCCTGTTGTCACTAATTTGACTGTTGTGGGGTCACAAACCATGTTAACCCTAAATGGAGGATTTGTAAAATATGATGCCAGTGCTTACAGGAGAGACACTGTCATTGTACAGAATCTCGGATGAACAAGTCTTTCCCCTCCAGACTCAAGTGGATTGGATGGGAGTGGCGGGGGGGAGAGCAGAGCTCTGAACCAGCAGGCTACATGCCCTCCAGGCATGATCTGTAAGACTGGTTCAGCCGGTTTCCCTTTCCCTCTCCTCAACCACTAGGCCTTGTAGTGTCCCAGGGAAGATCCCCTTGTGGGGATTCCTTCCCCTGAGATTCTACTCTGAAGATCCACTAACAAAATTATCCAAAGCACGGGACTTGGTGATGGAGGACTCCCACTATCCAGACATCTGTTGGGAAAACACAGCACAGCACAAATTATCCAGCAAGTTCTTGGAATGTCCTGGAGACCTTTTTTAAAAAGTTTCAGAAGGTGGAGAAAGCAGGAGGCTGTTCACGAGATCTTGAATTATTTAAAAATCACAAAGGAATCCTTCCAAAAGAGGAAACTACGTCAAAGTACAAAGGATGGAGATAGGCCAATAGCACAAGAATATAGGGGTAAAGTTAGACAGGCCAAGGCACAAAATGAGCTCCAACTGGCTGGAGACATAAAGGGCGACAAAAAAAAACATTCTAGAAATACATTAGAAGTGAGAGGAAGCCCAAGGAAAGGGTCAGTCCGTTTTTCAGTGAAGAGGGAAACATGAAAACAGAAAATGTGGAAATAACAGGGCCTGATGAAATGCATCCCAGAATGCTCAAGGAGCTGATTGAGGAGAAAAGCCAGAAAAGCAGGGACGTGAAGAGAGAGACCAAGGCCACCGAGCTCGTTCTGTGCAAACAGGCGGGTTTTCTCAGGGAGGCAACACACAAAGCCCTGGGAAATTCTCCATGGTGCTGACTGCTCGAGGGGATGGGTCGTCTGCACTCACAAGGCTTCCGCCCCAGGGGACGCTGGGAGATATTCAGATCATTACACTGCCAGAGCCAGCACCCGCCTGCCCCAAGCAAGTGATCCCTGGAACTCTCCAGAGAGCCCGGGGAAGGGGCTACGGTGGCATAGGAAAGGCCATTCTGTGCTGTGCCCAGGATGAAGGACGCCCCTGGAGAGAGACCAAGGACGTGCCCAGATGGCTCAGAACAAATCGCGGGTCTCTCGCAGGGCAAAGCACCTGTACAGCAAAGCTAGAGGGGATGGTGTCGCAGGCGGGTGTAGAAGCAAACCAGAGGATCTCTTACCGCCTTGGTGCCAGTGGTGGGGACAGTCGACATGGAGAGATCGTCTGTCTGAGATTTCCGGCTGAGTGGTCGGAATCCCCTGATCCATCTCCTGTACTCCTCTCTCACCTGGGAGTCAAGGACACGGTCACTGCACTGCGTAAGGAACTCTGACGAGATCAGACATGGCCGCTGCGGGGCCGGTGAAGGAGCTGGGTGGGCGCTGACGGGCCATGGGCGTTACCTGGCGATTGAGGAGACAGTGCACCAGGAAGATGAAGGCTCCCTGCAGGCTGTTGATGATGGTGAATAAATACGCCATGAGCGAGGCTGCTGGGCCGACTTGGAGAAGACCAAGGATCCATGTACAGCCCAGAACGAAGAGCTGGACGATGGTTTTAAAGATCATTAGTCTGGAGAAAGGCAGATAGAGCCCGTTACAACAACCCGGTGGGAGGATCGGGGTCAGCAGGGTCTAAACCCTGTGGGAAGCTGTGAGGGGGTTCACTCACCACCACAGCACCCCCTGCCGTCTGTCCTAGGAATTAGCTCCTTCTGCTGACAGGATACCTTCCCTCACGTGGTGTTTCCTCTCTTTCCTCCAGGCCACGGTGTTCTCTTAAGGACACTGCCCTCCGGCACTGCCCACATCAGTCTCCGGGGGTTGTTGTTTCTTCAGCGGGCCATTCTTCAGGCCCTGCAGTCTGGGTGTTTGCTTGGCCAGAGCTCCCCTAGCCCTGCCCTAGCTCCAGGGAGCCTGCTGCTCCCCCAGCAGTGAGGCTCTCGCTGCTCTCCCTGGGAACAGCAGCCCATCCTCTTATATAGCTCCCAGCTGGGCCCTAATCAACTAATGCAGCCTCAGCTGGGGCTAAACTCCCAGGACCTGCTCCAGGTTGGAGTTTGCCGTTAAAGGGCCAGTGCAGGGCGAACGCCCTGTCACAGGAGCCTCAGGGTCAGCAGGGTCTGGCCAGAGTGGGATGGAGCTACCAGCCCTGCTTTCCTGTGTGGGACGGAGTTACTGTCAAAGCGAACACAATGGGCCTCGTTCCCATGGATCCTAGATACGCTGCCCCTCTCCTGCAGTCCCTCACTCCCTCTCCATGCCCAGGAACATCCAAACCAAGACACCTGACCCTCCACGACTGCTCCGATGCCTTCTCACCTGTGGCCTCTGAGGGTGGACACATCCGCATTGAGGGAGGACAGACTGCTTCTCAGGATCCACAGGGTCAGGGCAAAGAACGTCACATTTATCTGTGGGCAGCGGGAAATGTTTCCTGTGAAATGTCCCGTCCGGGGCCGGTCAGTCCAGCTCAGTCAGAGAACAATCCCAGGGGACCGAGCCGAATGCTGCAGAACTGGGATTGGACATGGCCTGGGGGAATCATCCCCCTCCTGTAAGGTCCCCAGCAGCGCTCGGTCTCTCCCTACACTCGTAGCTGATGGCAGAGCCAGGGCTGGGATGGATCAATGGGATCACAGAGGCCAGATTCTGCTCAGAGTTCAATATGGAGCCACTCCAGTGGAGTAAATAGGGTTCACACTGGTGTAACTGAGCAGGATTTGGCTCAAAGAGCCCAGATCTTGCCTCTAGAATATTGCCTGAACTTTCCAGCTGTAAGAAATTCCTGTTCCCTCGACCCATCCTACTTCCCCACGGGCTAGGGAAGAATATTTAGGGACATCTGTTTCCCACCTCCCCCCCCACACACACACTTAATCAGGGTATGGTGCAGCCCTCTCCCTTCCCCATTCCTTGGGCCATTAGCTAGACTGGACCAGACTTTCTGTCTCTTGGCCAAGCTCCTGCTGACGTCCCCGGCAGCTGTGCCCGAGTAAAGGCTGTGGGCTGGGGACAGGGCACAGGGACGGATCCCGCGACCGGCCAAAGCGGATGAACCAGGTGGCTCCTAACTGGGTCTTTCCTTGTGTTTTATGGACACACCTTCTCCTCCCTGCTTCCTGAAATCAGTGGGGCTGCCAAGGTGGGAGAAGGGGGCTGGGGTTCTGTGAGGTACCCACCAGGATTATGACACAGACTGGCCCCAGGAAACTCCAGCGAAAGCCTCTGTCCAGGCTGAGCCAGCAGCTACAGGCAGGGAGGAAGAAGCGCATTACCCCCGATGTGAGAGCGTAGGGGCAGGGATGTGATCACTGCCCTGCGAGTGATGGGTGTCACAGGGCATCTCTTCCCAGCCTCACGATGGATCTCAGCCA